ATACACCATTGGCAATATATTCTTTCCATGTTCAGTGTATCCTAAAATGTTGGTGAAAACCAAAATTTTGCTTATAATTTTAAAATTTCAATTAATAATGAACATATACACTACCTTTAAAGTTGATGTGACCACAACTTCAAAGTAAAACACCTTAACCAAAAACCACCCACAGAAAATATTGATTTCACACTATCACATTCCATATTCAGTAAACTGTGAATTTGGGTCAAAACCATAATTTTATGTTGTTTTTTTTTTTAATTCACACCACAGTGAACATAATTTGTTCCAAGTTTCTAGTTGATGTGACCTCAACTTCTTGGTAAACCAGTTTAACCAAAAATATTTAAACCTGAGAATGTATGGATTTCACTATGAAATCAGGGTTAAAACCATAATTTGACGAATACCGTTAAATTTAAAAGTTTACATGATTATTAACATGTGTACTAAGTTTCAGGTTGAACTGGTTAACTACCTCAACTAAAAACTTGAACCTGATACGGACTGACAAACAGATGAGTTGACTATAGTTGGTGTCATTTTTACACTAACAACATATCTGACACTTTAAAAATTATTTTCAGGACAAAATTCTGAAAATTCTTAAATACATACGCCCTTTTGAAGAACATCAACAATAAAACTTTTAAGAATTAGTTTTTGTCTTATAACTAATTATTGATAATCATATAAATACCTGCACATACCTTGTTTCCAACTTCAGTTTCTGTAAATTCCGAAATGTTTGCCATATTCTTATCACTGGACAAATTGCAAAGCGATAGGTTTCGCAAAAATAAAAACTGACATTTTAATTTTGAACAGTATTATGAGTATGCAGCATTCCATTGAAATTCTGATCATCAATCTTGAATTTTTGTCTATTGTTAAACAATTATGATAAAAAACGCACACAAAAATTTCTGAATTTACAGTTATTCATTAATGGAATTATTATTGATCTATGATTATTTAAGGATACTGACTTCTAATGTAGTGGTTTGATCTCGGATCAGACACAAATCTTCCTCTACTTGTGCTAAACTTTTATTTGCTGCATCAAGGTTTTTATCTAGTAAGCTATTTGCATCATCTAATGTGTATTCTAACATTACATTTGCCTAAAAAAAAAGAAATAATTCATGATATTAGTTCTATCATATCGATATTGTTCAGGTATGCTGTACCTATCATTTAAACTTGTTTATTTATTAAATTCTCCTTATTTTACAAGTTTTATTTGCTGCTGATCTTTATATTTCACATCATCCCAAATTGCTGAAATATTCCAACCAATATTATGTCTTATTAATTTTGTGATTCCCAAAGGTCTAACTATTCCAACCAACATATGTCAAAATGATTTTGTGATTTCTAAAAAAACTTTCAAATCGATTTGGTAACTAATGGAAAATGGTAAGCATAAGTAAAACAGAAATGAACATTTAGGGTTTGACAAACAGTTACATGATACAAGAAGAATGTGTCCATAGTACATGGATGCCCCACTCGCACTATCATTTTCTATATGTTCAGTGGACTGTGAAATTGGTGTCAAAACTCTAATTTGGCATCAAAATTAGAAAGACCATATCACAGGGAACATGTGTACTAAGTTTCAAGTTGATTGGACTTCAACTTCATCAAAAACTACCTTGACCAAAAACTTTAACCAAAAACTTTAATCTGAAGTGGGACAGACGGACGGACGGACGAACCAACTAACAAACAAACGAACGGACGCACAGACCAAAAAACATAATGCCCATAAATGGGGCATAAAAATATTAAGAAATAGTAAGAAAGAAGTTCCAACGTCAAAGGACAATGACAATGCCAATATCATTGACTTAGCATTACTGTTTCTATTAAGGTGACCTTAAAACAAGCTTTAACAATTGTTGAGTCCACCATTACTACCTGAAACAGAATGCCTCAGTCTCACCTTAGTAACTTCATAGAAGCAAAAAAAAAATGAAACTCTTCCTATAAATTCTTCAATTTTTGTTGAGCAAAAGACTTTGATCATATACACAACAAACAGAATGAAAATCAGAGGGCATCACATAGACCTACTAGAAAAAAACTGTAAAGGAAAACTAAGATTGAAATGAGCAATTAAAATGAATGGACTGCATAAAATGAAAGTCCACCACAAATTTGTCTAGAATGAGAAATTACTTTATGAAAAAACTTTCATCAACTCGCAAAAAATATAAAGGGGAAGAGCTTCTAGTGTCCACTGTGACCTGTTTGCATTGTTATTTTCTTGTTTACTTTCAGTATGATTATTTACTGTTATCATTTAATTCAGACAATAATATTATCTTTCTAAAATCTATTTTGAGTAACTTGACCTTCCCTTTGAAATTGACCTATTGATTTCAAAATCAATAGGGATCTTACTCTTATTATATGTGACACAGATAGACTTGGTTTATTAGAGATAAGTTTATTAGTTATTATTGGCTCTCAGATCTGTACCTAAGTGTCCTTTTTGTTGTTAGGGATGAGATATGGATAAATACCCTGCCACGTCCGGTCTGTGTTTATGTTAGAGAGCTCACATACATGTTTAACCCCGCAACATTCTTAATGTTCCTGTCCCAAGTCAGGAGCCTGTAGTTCAGTGGTTGTTGTTGGTTCTTGTCTGTCATATTTGTTTTTTGTTAATTATTTTGTTATAAATTAGGCCGTTAGTTTTCTCAATTGAATTGTTTTATATTTTTCATGTCAAGGCCTTTTATAGCTGACTATACCGTATGGGTTTTTCTCATTGTTAAAGGCCGTACGGTTGCCTTTAATTGCTTACATCCACTTTATTTGAACTTTGGTGTAAGTGGTGGATATTTGTCTCATTGGCAATCATACCCCATCTCCTTATTTTTATAAAGCTGTGACATGAAACTTGATTGATTGATTGGTGTTTAAGCCACTTTCAGCACTATTGGATATTTTGTGGCGATCATTTTATATTGGTGGAGGTAGCAGGAGTGACCAGAAAACGACCCACCTGTGGAAGGAAGACTGACAATCCTGGTCAATTAAGATTGGAGTCGAATGCACCTGCCACTTGCAGGATTAGAACTCCCAACCTCATTATTGACAGACTAGTAATACAGTTGTTTGACTATTTAGACCATTCTGTCACGGAGGCACCATCTCGATTAAATCAAACTAAAAGAATTCCAAGATATATCAAACTTCCAACAACTGAACAAACATATCTTTTAAAAGAAAGTCTATGTAAACATGTTTTATAGTAAACTTAGCCGTTCAAGTATATAAAACATGGTTAACTTTTTTGTTAAATTTGAAGTATCATATAGTTGTACAAAGCAAGCCTTCATTTACTGAAAAGATAAGAATCCCATAAATTGTCATAAAACAATTTTTAACAAGACAAATTTACAAAAATATATTTTTCTCCTTCGAGACATTTAAATTCAATCAAAAGTTAAAAGGCTAGATTAGGCCAATTAAAATTAATTGATAGATTTTCATCCCCGCCCGCCCCTCTGAAATTGTCCCGCCCTGATTTTTTTTATTTTAACAAATTTACGATTTCCGGATTTTGTTCATTTCCGTTACCGGAAACCACTGATAATTTCGTTTCATTCATAACTTCCTGTAGCAAATTTCGGTTTTCGTATTTCTTCGAGTAATTTAACCAAAATGATTAAGTCGAAATATTCTGCTGCTCTATGATGACAGCATTATCTTCTGAGAAAAGAGATTGCTTACGAGAAGGGCATGAAATATTCGGGTTACGAGTGACAGGCGGTGTCCAAGAACGCAAATCGCGGTCAGTGATTAGAAACCTGTGGATTTTTTTTGTTTATACAATGACTTTGTGTCAGGAAATTTGGACTGTGAATGATATCCAAAGCACAAGAATCGTGGAACACATTGCTGCAATAAAAAACATGACTGGGATAAAGAAATTGACACAAGCACGAACTTGTGCGATCTAAGACCATATATTGAGTACAAAAAAGTCGGCCAATGTAATGCTATGTCTTAAAACTTTTCCAGATACACAGGGTTATCTGTACTCAGAGTAAATTTTGAGGTGAAAATGCAGCCATTGTAGTCAAAGGGTCCACACGAACCTTAAAAGCATAAACCATAGTATTTGCAACATAGTTTGAGTTTTTATTTCACTCTGTACTCATAATACTTGTAATGGGCACTACAAAGTACTACTTAGAAAGCAAAATAAATTTGATGTAGGTAGTCTAAAAGAGAACATTTCTCCACCTTTTTGCTATTTACTAAAAAATGGTTTCTAAAGTGGCAATGTAGAACAGTGGTTGCCAATCCGAAACCTTTATTAAGAATTTGAAAATTTATGTAGAATTCCTTATATATACATGATATAAGCTTAATATTACCCTTGCATATGCACAGTCTGATTGAAACCAGCCCCCAATATCTACAAAGGCAAATGGAAAGTAGGGGCTGGTTTTAATCAGACTGGCATATGAAGAACACGTCACAAAAGGGTTTCGGAGGAAATAAAAATTAAAAAATAAAATCCTCCCACCCGCCCCATTTTTTTCAAAAAATTGGATGAAAATCTACTAATTAATTTTAGTTGGCCTTAGAAGAGTGAAGTAGAATAAACCAGACATATCGAATTTTAGGACATCAAAATGGCTTGTTCTCAATTAATCAATACTAATGTGCACCAAGTGTCTGATAAAGTTCTTGCATTAAGTAAACCTAGAATTTTATATGTGTCCTTTTAAATAGGGTTTCCTCAGATCATTTAATATATGCTGAAAAATGAAAAAACTTAAATTTGAGGATAGATCTGCTCTATTCTTTTTCGATAAACCATAGGTGTATAAAGCAATCCTTTTTTTAATAAAAATTTAAAAAATCTTATTATTTGTCATTAAAACTTTTAACAATTTCCAACAAGATCATTTTGTGTATATGCATGATAACACTGAAAAGTGTTATCTCCTTAGAGACTTTTAAATTCTGAATCAGTTTATGGTTAAAAAAAACAAAAAAAAATCGACTAGTTAGCAAAGGGAAGTAGAATAGGGCAGACATATTTTATATCTTAGACTTCAAAATGGCTTTTTCTCAATCAATTCAGAAAGGACAGGCTCCATTGAGCTGTAATTTATGTGAAATTGAGACAAAAATCAGTTCAAAATGCCTAGACTGTGATTTACTAATGTGCATCAAGTGTCGTGATAAAGTTCATCCAAAGTTTAAAAATGCAAAGGACCACAAAATTGTGGATATCAAAGACATCGCACTGTATGCTGAAGAAATGGATTTCAATAGTATTAAATGCCAAGATCACAATGGACAAAATTGTTGCTTGTTTTGTGAGTCATGTGACCATTTAGTTTGTCCTCTCTGCATCTCAAAGACACACAATGGACATGGCTTAATAGAGATAAGTAAAAGCTATGAAACTAAACTACATTGGCTGAAACAAGCACAAGTCAAAGTTCAATCAAACTTGCAAAAATTGAACAAATATGATGCGAAAATAGAAGAGATGCAAAAATCTGGAAAAGAACAGAGCAAAGACACAAAGGAGAAAATTCAAGCTCAAAATAAAGCTCTGAAAACAGCAGTTGATGAATTCACAGAGAGAATGGAAACACAACTGGAGCACAAAATTAGTCTTCATCAGAAATCCATTGAAAAAGAACGAATTACAACACAGCAATCAAAAAAGAAAGTTGAAGATCAAAGGTCTAAATTAGAAAACATTATCAATGCTAAGGATGCCGCTGAAGTATTAAAATGCAGAGATGAACTTCAACAGTCAACCTCTGGAGAAATGGAACTACCTGAGCTAAACATAAACCTTGTCCCAATATTTTGTCCAGGTGAATTAACTCATGAAGTTTTTGGCTCTCTACAAAACAACATCTCAATGAAAATGACTATTTCTGAACAATTTGTTATTGAAGTACCCAGGATTGACAAGATATCAGTTTGCTGTGATGATTCCATATTCATCAGTTGTCAGAATAAGCCAGGTTTATTAAATAAAGTAAAACCTGAACAAGGAAATCTGAAGGATATACACAGGATAGAAAAACAAGTATTTGACATGACCGTTACTCAATCACAAGACATTCTTATATCAACTGGTTACTCAACACTTCAACTAGTTAATGACAAAACTGGTAAAATCACTAGTACAAAATACAGTGTTGCTCCATTACTTACTGTAGGTGTTCATGTGACTAATAGTAACAAAGTCATAGTAGGAGCTATTTCAGACTGGTCACCTACACCAGCAAGAAGCTGCGTCATAACCATGAATGCAACAGGAGAACATGAAACTATATATGAATATGACAAAATTGATAAACCCATCATCAATTTTCCTTGGAGAATAATAAGTACAAGTAATGGCAGGATATGCATTTTGGACAGACTTTCAAATGACTTTAATGGCCAAGTTGTGGTGTTTAATGAAGGAGAAGTCATTCAAGTCTATAAAGGACAGTCAAAAATCAATAGCCCTGATAAACCATTTAAACCCACCAATTTTGCAGTTACACCATTAGACAATATTATAATAACAAACTTGAATATGGGTATTTTTCACATTCTGAATAGTTCAGGACACTACATTACCCACTATGATACAACAGACATAGGTATCGTCCATCCGTATTCCCTAGGTTTCAGCACAACAGGACTTCTCTATATAGGATCAACAACAAGAAAAGGATCAAATGATAAAGCTAAACTATACATAGTGGACATATCTGAAAACTTATATAACACTGGATGAAATCATTAAGCTAAAATGTACATAGTGAACATATCTAATTACAAGAGAGCACTGGATAAACTGATTAAGCTATTAAAACTCTACATAGTGAACCTTTCTGAATATAACAGACACAATTATAAGGCGGACCTATACATACTGAACATAATGAATACTTAGAGAGAACACAAGATAAAATGATAAAAAATTAAACTATAAATAATGAACACGTCCAAATACTAGAGAACACAGGATTAAAATATAATATTAAACTATACATAGTGAAGATATATCTCAATACAGAGAACAACAATAGATCAAACAACTAGAGGCTCTAAAGAGCCTGTGTCGCTCACCTTGGTCTATGTGCATATTAAACAAAGGACACAGATGGATTCATGACAAAATTGTGTTTTGGTGATGGTGATGTGTTTGTAGATCTTACTTTACTGAACATTCTTGCTCCTTACTACTATCTCTATCTATAATGAACTTGGCCCGGTAATTACAGTGGAAAATACTTTGTAAAAATTTACAAAAATTTACAAAATTTATGAAAATTGTAAAAAAATGACTATAAAGGGCAATAACTCCTTAAGGGGTCAATTGACAATTTTGGTCATGTTGCCTTATTTGTAGATCTAACTTTGCTGTACATTATTGCTGTTTACAGTTTATCTCTATCTATAATAATATTCAAGATAATAACCAAAAGCTGCAAAATTTTCTTAAAATTACCAATTCAGGGGCAGCAACCCAACAACGTGTTGCCTGATTGGTCTGAAAATTTCAGGGCAGATAGATCTTGACCTAATGAACAATTTTATTCTCATCAGATTTGCTCTAAATGCTTTGGTTTCAGAGATATGAGCCAAAAACTGCATTTTACCCTATGTACTATTTTTTAGCCATGTCAGCCATCTTGGTTCGCGAGCAGGGTCATCAGACACATTTTTTAAACTAGATACCCTAATGATGATTGTGGACAAGTTTGGTTAAATTTGTCTTAGTAGTTTCAGAGGAGAAGATTTTTGTAAAAAATTACAAAAATTTACGAAAAATGGTTAAAAATTGACTATAAAGGGCAATAACTCCTTAAGGGGTCAACTGACCATTTTGGTCATGTTGACTTATTTGTAGATCTTACTTTGTTGAACATTATTGCTGTTTACAGTTTATCTCTATCTATAATAATATTCAAGATAATAACCAAAAACGGCAAAATTTCCTTAAAATTACCAATTCAGGGGCAGCAACCCAACAACGGGTTGCCTGATTGGTCTGAAAATTTCAGGGCAGATAGATCTTGACCTAATGAAAAATTTTATACTCATCAGATTTGCTCTAAATGCTTTGGTTTCAGAGATATGAGCCCAAAACTGCATTTTACCCTATGTACTATTTTTTAGCCATGTCGGCCATCTTGGTTTGCGGGCGGGGTCATCGGACACATTTTTTAAACTAAATACTCTAATGATGATTGTGGACAAGTTTGGTTAAATTTGTCTTAGTAGTTTCAGAGGAGAAGATTTTTGTAAAAGATTACAAAAATTTACGAAAAATGGTTAAAAATTGACTATAAAGGGCAATAACTCCTTAAGGGGTCAACTGACCATTTTGGTCATGTTGACTTATTTGTAGATCTTACTTTGCTGAACATTATTGCTGTTTACAGTTTATCTCTATCTATAATAATATTCAAGATAATAACCAAAAACTGCAGAATTTCCTTAAAATTACCAATTCAGGGGCAGCAACCCAACAACGGGTTGTCCGATTCATCTGAAAATTTCAGGGCAGATAGATCTTGACCTGATAAACAATTTTACCCTTTGTCAGATTTGCTCTAAATGCTTTGGTTTCAGAGATATATGCCAAAATCTACATTTTACCCCTATGTTCTATTTTTAGCCATGGCGGCCATCTTGGTTGGTTTGCCGGGTCACCGGACACATTTTTTAAACTAGATACCCCAATGATGATTGTGGCCAAGTTTGGTCAAATTTGGCCCAGTAGTTTCAGAGGAGAAGATTTTTGTAAAAGTTTACGGTTGACGGACGACGGACGACGGACGCAAAGTGATGAGAAAAGCTCACTTGACCCTTCAGGTCAGGTGAGCTAAAAAACAAAATTATTGATAGAGGAAATGTCTAAATACTAGAGTATGCTGTAGTTGTTTTTGTAAATAATATATATTTCAAAATTAATAATTTTGTAACTAATTTTGTTCACAGGCACCCTCCACCTTACAAGATAACTGTAGTTGTTAAACATAATTTGATTAATTGTTGTCTGCTTAAAGGCATGAACAGAAAATGCAGTATAATCATAATTCAAACAAAATATTAAGGTGGTTTAGATTTAAAAATAAAACTGCTTTAACCCCATCAATATCCATATGTCAGTCCCAAGCCCTGAACCAGGTTTGCAGCTGTCTTTTGTTAAATAATGTGTTCATATCATTTAGGGAATTTGTTATTGGTTGCAGATTTTTTTATAGTCCATCTTTATTTTTTCACAGATTTTCTATACACAGGAGGATTCAAAGCTTGTTAAGACACTTGACTATTGAACTTTGGTAGTCTTTAGTGTTTGATTGTTGTATACCCAACATAAGATTAGACACAGATTAGACACACAAATTGCAAGTTTAAAATGTCACAGGGAAAAAAATGTTGGCTTTTTACACTAAACATACATTTGAGTCGTAGGAAGTCTGAGGCCTCATCACTCTGTAAATATTAACTCTACAAAATGGATTGGATCATAGACTTAAATTGCTGGGTTTAAAAACATGTTTGCAATAGAGAAGGATCTATAAAGCCTTTCTAAATATATCAAAATATATGAAATTGGAAGGATCGTTTGTTTAAACAACTCAATTATGGAAGGTGTACAACTTCAATAGGTATTCAAACATTTTGTGAAGTTTAAAGGATCTAGTTTGAAAACTGCAGGTGATGATTACACAAAACTGGTACTTCATTTTGAAAAATTTTATGAAAAAATTAGTACCCAAATCTAACAACATAGAAAAATCTGAAACAATTCCATAATATCACAGGGACTTCAACTTCTAAGTGGATCTCCATTTGTTTTTGTCTATAACAACATATAAAATATCCAAACTTCCAATAAAAATTGTTGATTATAGGATAAAAACAATACTTGGATGATATTTAAAAAGAGAAATAAATACATACAGACCACACTCAGTACAAAAAGACATTTAATTTCTATATTTACATAAATTATATAATGTTGTTCAAAGATGAAGAAAAATTTGATAAATCCCTTTTACAGTTCATCAATTCTTTTTTCCCTGTCTCTACATTTATTCAACTCTTTCCTCCCCTCCCAAGTTTTATTTCCAGCTCATTTTGGTGAATAGTCATTCGGCATTTCTGAAATACTCAACCCAACATAATACTTTCTAAAGGTCTTTAAAAAAAGGATTCATAGGGCACACAGAGATATGTCTCGCCTATCTGTTATTTTGATAATGCAAATGTTGAAATTAAAATAGCAATACTTTAACATGTATGCAAATATTCAAAGTCAATGAACCATGACTGAAGGTACAGGGCTAAAAAATCTCCATGGAAATGAGATGTGCCAATGCTAATACAACTGCAAACCAAATACAATTGACTTTTCATAAGTTGTTCCCTTTAAACAAACCTAAACACAAACATTAACTTGTAAACTATGTAAAAGTTTTAAAGTCAATGCACCATAATTAGGGGGTGGGGTTATATAATCTCCATGGAAATGAAACTTGCAAATGTATTTACCGAATATCATTGTCTTAACATAAGTGGTTCATCTTAAATTGACCTAATCACAAACTAATACATGTAAACTAAGCAAAAGTTTCAAAGTCAATAGACCATGACTGAGGGGTAAGGACCAAATATTCTCCATGGAAATGAGATGTGCTTATGCTTATACAACTGCATATCAAATATCATTGACCTACAACTAACAATTCCCCTTAAACTGACCTAATCACAAACTAATACATGTAAACTAAGCAAAGTTTCAAAGTAAATGGACCATGAATGAGGGGGCGGGGCCAAATAATCTCCATGGAAATGAGATATGCCAATGCTTATACAACTGCATATCAAATATCATTGACCTACTACTAGTGGTTCCCCATAAACTGACCTAATCACAAACTAATACATGTAAACTAAGCAAAGTTTCAAAATCAATAGACCTTGACTGAGAGGGCGGGGCCTAATAATCTCCATGGTAATGAAATGTGCCAATGCTAATACAACTGCATACCAAATATCATTGACCTAACACTAGTGGTTCACCATGATCTAGACCTAATCACAAACTAATACATTGATGATGCCGCCACCGTCACCGACGCCGGAAACAGCATACCTATGTCTCGCTGTCAAGGCGAGACAACAAAGAAAAACGATGCACAAAGAAAGGTTAAGGGGCTAGTGAATTCAAGTAAAATACAGCATGTAGTACTAGGATACAGAACTCTTACTGCTGTTCTTCATCTTGGCATCTGAAAGCTCTTTAAAGATAATCTGCAAAGTTCACACCTTACTGAAAAGCCAAAATGGTGCAAGCCCCAATTACAGCAGTATTCTTTGGTATCTACTGATAACAACAGCTACATATGTTATTGAACAATGCCAAAGAAACACTTGCAGTGAAATCAATGATTTTGATACATAACTGGTTGAGCCTTTCTACAAATTCTATTATTCACTTCCCACCAAAAGACTTATTATTGCAACCAAAAATCAATGGGAATCATCAAGAACTTGTAAAAATACTTGAAAGAAAGTAAGATCGAAATGGCCAATTAAAACTGATGGACTGCATAAATAAACTGTACACTACAAATTTGCCTAAAATGACAAAATTTTATCATGAACATACAATTATAGGTGGATTAAGTAAACAAAAAAGAAAACAGACTGAAAGTGCTCATATGAAGTAAAATGTTAAATAAATTGTTGACACAGAGATATGTCTCGCCTATCGGCATAAAATTCAGAAAAAGACAATCTGATGGACAGCAACATTGCCTATTAATTCAGTCACTGGACCATGATCTAGTGGGCAGGGCCTGAACATGGTCAACAAACTGAGATGTACAGACAGTAATGTAACTTTATAGAAAATAACATTGTTTATTGTACATAGTTCCTATCAATATAACTTAAGCAGAAAACTTAACATTGAAAATTTCTAATTAATTCAAAGTCACTGGACCATGACAAAGGGGCAGGGCCTCGAAATAGTCATCAAACTGATATGAACTGATAATAATGCAACTTCATACAAAAT